CTTCCAGGACTCTCGGAAGCGCGTCCTCTACCTGGATTTTGATCTGCACCATGGCGATGGAGTTGAGGAGGCCTTTGCCTATAGTTCGCGGGCTGTCACTTTTTCCGTGCATCACGCCTCGCCTGGCTTCTTCCCTGGCACCGGTGACCTCGCGCCGGACTCCTCGGGTTTCTTCACCGGCGCACGGGGTGGACGATTTTCTTGTTTCAATTTGCCGCTAGGTAGGTGCTTGAAACGAGTTAAACTGCCTGCCTTAGCTTGCGCCACTGTGCTGTGCGCTGACTGGCTACTTCGTTTAAGCTTCTTTTTCTTATACTGCCATTATAGACTGATTGTTATTCTTTTCAGTTATTGTATCGAGAAATGTTGACGATTGATATTCGATAGGTTTTCCTTTCCTCCATTGTTGTTTAACCGATTAAGGCCAACCCAAACATCAAAGTGCACGAAATGCAACCTAAAAACCAATTATAAAACCACCATCATTTGATTATTTAATAATCACTGGTTTCAATAAGGACGCTTTTATTGAACTGCTTATAATTAGCAAACCAGAATCATATTTTCCGTAGCCTTAATTTCCCCGATTTCCTCTTTGTCGAACGCGCGACAAAAAAGGGAAGACCGCGGAAAGTAAAGCTATCGAAACTGTTATTCTGGATTTCTTATTATCTAAGGAAAATAACAGCGAGTGAATGTTGGGTTTTTTAATCGGTATGTCGGTTGCATTTGATGCAATTTGATGCTTGGGTGTTTCCTTCAACCGGCTATTTGATATAAAACACGGAAATATATTTAAGTTAGAGCCAAATAATATATTTTAGGATTGAATTCAGTTAAATGTGAAGATAATAAGCCTCTGAATCTTGTTCTCTTAAATAGCGTTGTTATAATACTCACTGTTAATGCGACTTTTGGTGCGGCATGGATTTGCTGATAGCCTTGTAGACTGGTTGGTAGTTAGTGAGGTTAATCTTCATGCAAGCGTTGAGGCTTTCATTGTAGATCGTGATCGTAGGGTGGACTTGATATGTTTATGATATGAGAATGACTGCTCACATACATACGTAGATCCAACCAAGGTCAATACAACAATGCTCACATGCTGCAGTATGTGACAGGATGCGCGTTCCAAGTTTTTATTATCAACTAGTCTTCGGGTTAAATATTTTTTTTCATTTCTGTCCACATGTGCTTGCTCGCCAACTCCGCTTTATGTCCTGGGATTCTTTCAAAATCTTCATTGAATGACTTCAACTTATTCACCCACATGTCTGAGGCCTTCAGGTCAGCCACTTTTTCTTCAAAATGTCTAACGGAGATACCAGGAACATAACCTAGGTCGACTTTGTTCAGTGAGCACTCGTTTGGATGGCTGATAAACTTAACGAGATAGGCAGGCTGGCCTATGCGCGTAAGACAGCCTTGTCTGCCAGCGTGACATTCACTAAGCTGAGGTCAAGTCTGGGGACTGTCGTGCTTTAGTAAAGTCTGTGTTATTTAGCGAGCTTGTCGCGTCTATTGTGACGCAAGAGGAAGTGGAAGCAGCTGCTGTCGGCTAGCCGGAAAGGGAACACTGAAACGACTGCTAGGCAAAACCTAGAGGGCCTGAACGCCAGAGATTGGTCGAGATTAAATTGATTCCAATATGCGTCTCGACGGCGGCACGTCATTGAAGTAACCAAAATCACATAATCTGAAGTTTCTTATTCCATTTTTATCTGAGAGAGCCCGATGCAATCATCAAATGAGCCACACCTGGCTCGCGAGCCATAGGTTGCCGACCCCGGATATAAAATAATAGGAAAAGTCATAAAATCCGCGACATCAGGAGAATAAAAGTGTTGTCCCGGCGACCGAGTCGTCTTCTTCTCAAATATTACTCGTCAAAATTTCTAAATATAACAATTTAAAGGTAAACATACAGTCCATAATGGTATAATAAGAAAAAGAAGCTTAAGTGAAATAACCAATCGGAGCACAGCACGGTGGCGCAAAGTGGCGTAAGCTGAGATAGACAGTTCAATCCGCTTGAAACCCCTCCCCATACCTCCTCTCTCCCTTGATCGCGTTTACGATTTCCCCCTGATATGCTGAAGCCCCTCTTCCCCCTCTTGCGTTTCTTTCGCAGCTGAGGGTACAGGTGATGAGACCTGGTTCTCGACTGTCAAACCGATTCTCAGCGCATTGCGCGCCTCCGTGCAGCCCGCCTTCGTTGTTGTCCAGTGCGGTGCTGATGGTCTCACCTCTGATCCGCATCGCGTCTTCAATCTGAGCGTGGGTCAAAACTGCGCCCATGCCTGCGCACTGCGTCAGATACTCTCATGGGGT